GCCACATGGGGCAGTTTCGGGTCAGTTTGGGGCTGCGTGGGGCAGTTTTGGGGCCGTTTCGGGGCAGTTTGGGGCCGCGCGGGGGCTGCCCATGCCCGGAGCAGCCTCGAGGGCCCCGTGGCCGCGGCGGGGGCGGCACGTGGGGGCCGCGGGACAGGGCCCCGCCGCGACACCCGGCAGCAGGAACCCGCCCGGGGTCATCGGCACCGGTGCCCTCGCGCGGTTCCTGTACCAGACCCGCAGATTCCCGGCTCCGACCCCCCTTAGACCTCGGGATGGATGCGGATATCGGGAGCGCAGCGGTAGCTACAGAGGCGCCCGGTTCCGCATCGCCTGGCACGGGCAGAACAAGGGACTTSGGAGCGATTCGCCCCGCGCTTGCTCGAGCTTTGCCGCCCATGAGGGTCTCCACAGGCAACGGCGTGAGGCGCCTGCGGCCGGGAAGCCTTTTCCCGGCTCTGGATGCTTCCCAGGCCTCCGTGCTGGGCATTAGTATGCTGGGCGGGAAGCGTCCCCGGCCGGGGGACACAAAGGACCTGTCTTTATTCGCCGGAGATCCCGCCGGGCGCAGCCAAAGGGGCTCGGGGCCCGGCCTGACGCGGGCTGGGAGGGGGTGAATCCGCAGGGCCGGGTGTTTCGCTCCCACTTGCAGCCCGGGGTGGGGTGACATGTGCGGACGACTGCTTCCTAGTGACAGGTACAGCGACCTCTTCTCCCCCTGCTTTACATTCTAGGCAGAAATTCAGAAAAAAAGGATCGGTGGCGAGTCCCCGCTCCCCCACGTTCAYGTAGATTTGCAGTTTGGGGCCGACGCGGTTGGACCTCGGCCGCCTGGCTGAGACCCACGGTGACGGCGGCTGCTAGTGAGAGCCCAGGAAGGCGGTCCCTGCCCCAAGGAGGTGCTTGTGGGTTCAGTCCTGAAAACAAAGCACTGTAATACCCAACCCCCTCTTAGGGGATACCCTAGATCTACAGGCACTCTTTTCCTCCAGTATTAAAGAGGAAACTGGAGCCTAAAGCCTCAGCCTCTGTGAGGACGCGGCGCCCACGCGGGTAGACCGCACTCGTGTGTGGAAAATATTAAGTGGGACTTGAAATATGTTTTTAGAGGTGCTGTGGGCAGATAATTCCTCTGTAGGAGGCTTTGTACTGTCTAATTAGGCCTTTATTCATGAAACGGCACTGCAATTAAATGTAATTACAATTAAAGCAGTGCAACTTGGGCATAGACCAGCCTTGACCTGTGTTCCGCAGCGTCCGTGGGGTCGATTCACGGTAACSGTTATTGGGGCTGCCTTTGTACCGGGCAAACGGGGCCCCCGTCCGTGTCCCCCCCGGGGTCCTCCGGCTGTTTGCGACGTCGCCGTGCATGGACGGCAGCCCGYGACGCTGGGCGCTGGCGCTCGGCACTGTTTGGCTGGCAGAGGGGCTCGGAGGGGCCCCGGGGGCCGCACGGGCGCGCACCCGTTTCCCAGGCTCCGTGGGTGACTATTCCCTGAGCGCTCGGGGCTTCGCCGGGYGCCGCTTTGGAGGTATCCAAACCTTTGGATTTTGGCCCTGGGGGATCGCCCGKGCGTTGCGGGACGGCCCCGCAGTGGCCGCAGGGCCTTGACTTCACCCCGTGTCCGGTGGTCCCGTGGGAAGCTCTGGTTAGGCCTTTGAGACGCGCTTCCCGTACGTGTCCCAGCCCTGCACGGAGCCGGMCGGATGCGGGAGTTGGGAGCAGAGGGTTCCCAAGGGAGGCGCAGCCGGAGCGCTCCCGGCCCCGCGGCTCCCGGCCYCGCGGCAGGGGATTATCTGGTACCGGGAGCAGGATGAACTTTGGTCGCCCCAGCTGGAAGGTGTCATTGGGCTCTGCTTCACGGAGCTGTTGGTTCTTTTTAACCCCTTCCTCTTCCAGGATCCATAACTTCTGTCCATAACTTCTTGCTCTTGCTTTCAGTTCCCCTTCTCCCCGCTCCGCACGGCTCGTGTTGCCCCTTGTCTTTGGGAAAGGAGGAATTGGAATGCCCTGGAAAGCCCGTCCGATCCGCGCAGGGAATGGGAGGACACGCGCGGAGGCATCACCGCGTCTCTGCTTCCTTTGCACAGAGGCTGGAGCTGCGAGGAGGCCCTGGGAGCATGCGGAGCCCGGAATGCGTGGGGAAAAGCTGCCTCGGCTGGCGGTCCGTGCTGCTGCGCGTCCGTAAGAGGTAGCGCCCGCCGCTGAGCCCTGCTGCCGCCCTCGCGCCTGCGAACGCGGGCACTCCTCACCTGCTGAAAGGGCGTCTCTCTTCCCAGGCGACAGCCCTTCCGCTCCGCGGGCCGGGCCTAGGGCCTCTCCGCGCCGTGGAGGGAGATCCGAGGCCGCCCGCGTCTGCTCTCGGCTCCGGAGTCATGGAGGACAAACGCAACATCCCCATCATCGAGTGGGAGCACCTGGACAAGAGGAAGTTCTACGTGTTCGGCATCTGCATGACCATGATGATCCGCGTGAGCGTTTACCCCTTCACGCTCATCCGGACRCGGCTGCAGGTTCAGAAGGGCAAGAGCCTCTACAACGGCACCTTCGATGCCTTCGTGAAAATCCTGCGGACAGAAGGGGCCGCCGGGCTCTACCGCGGCTTCCTGGTCAACACCTTCACGCTCATCTCCGGCCAGTGCTACGTGACGACGTACGAGCTCACRCGCAAGTACGTGTCGCGCTACAACAACAACAACGCCGTCAAGTCCCTGGTGGCGGGCGGCTCGGCCTCCCTCGTGGCGCAGAGCATCACGGTGCCCATCGACGTGGTCTCCCAGCACCTCATGATGCAGAGGAAGGGGGAGAGCATGGGCAGGTTCAAGGTGCAGAGCCACGACGGCAAGCGCCTCCTGGTCTTCGGCCAAACCAAGGACATCATAGTGCAGATCTTCAAGGCCGATGGCTTCAGAGGCTTCTACAGGGGCTACGTGGCCTCGCTGCTCACCTATATCCCCAACAGCGCCGTTTGGTGGCCCTTCTACCACTTCTACGCCGGTAGGTGGGAGGGGGCGTGGGGCCGATCCTGTCCCGGGAGCCCTGCGAGGCGCGGAGCCCAGCTCGGAAGCTGTGGGCCCGGCGCGATTCCTTTTCCCGMTGGGATTTGGGCTCGGCGCCAGGCGCTGCGCTCTGAGCTTGGGGACGCGGCGCCGTGTTCGCGCTGCGCTCTGTCCCCTGCTCAGCGACGCGGTGCCCGAACGCTGGGCACCGGCCAGCCGCGCCTCTCCCCCCGGTCATTCGCTGGGCCTGGCACGCCGCTTGGCAAGGGCTTTGGACCAAAATTTGCCTCATAACCGTCTAGCAGCAGGTGGTGACAGTGACAGGCTCAGGTTCCACTGCACTGAGCTTCGGGTGACCACAGGATTTTTCTGTCTGAAATTCGGGTGTCCCGAGGGCCGGGTCTGCTTTTGGGTGCAGGCACCCTTGGTAGCAGCAGGGAAAGGGGTTTCGGGCAGCGCTGCCCCTTGGGCCGATCACCTGCTGGGGGCTTTGCCCGAGCTGCCCCCTTCACCAGCTCCGCTCTCCTCACGTGCAAGGGTTTTGCATTTATACTAATATAAATGTAGCATTTATAATAAACATGCATGTATACATTTAGCTTTTATAAATGCTAAAAGCACCGAATGAGGCCCTAGGTGTTTGCTCCCTTTTTTAGCCCTCCACAGTGGAAACGATGCTTCGAAGCGATGCCCGGGGGCTCCCGAGCCACGAGCTGCGCTGTGGGTTGTGTGTGCCACGTCCTGTGCCATGTCCTGTGCCATGAGCTGTGCCACGAGCTGTGCCGTGTGCCGCGGGTGCCGCCCRGGCAGCCGGCTGGGCCGTGGCGACGCTGCCAGCCCTGGGCCCAGGGCAGGCGAAAGCGGCCGGGGGAGCAGCGAAGCAGCCGCTTGGTTGTAACATCCCTGTGCTCCCGTTCCCAGAACAGCTTTCCAGCTTGACTCCTAAGGACTGTCCCCATCTCCTCCTGCAAGCCATCTCGGGGCCGCTCGCGGCCGCCACCGCCTCCACGCTCACCAACCCCATGGACGTGGTCAGGGCTCGCGTGCAGGTAAGAGCTCGGCGCGGCGCGCGGCTCCCTGCGCCCTCGCAGCCTGTTTCGCCCTGCGGGTYGCGCTCCTYGGCCGCTTTCTGCCTGKCTTTGCTCTGGCTTTGCAGGTGGAAGGCAAGAGCTCCATCATCCTCACCTTCAAGCAGCTCCTGGCAGAGGAGGGGCCCTGGGGGCTGACGAAGGGCCTCTCCGCCCGCATCATCTCGGCCACCCCCTCCACCATCGTCATCGTGGTGGGCTACGAAACCCTGAAGAAGCTCAGCCTGCGCCCGGAGCTCGTGGACTCCCGGCACTGGTAGAGGCAGCCGGCGCCGGAGAAACCTCCTTTGGAGCCTCGTGCGTTGGGACCGTCGCGGTCGGGAGCTCCGGAGAGGGGCCGGAGGCTCCTGCGCGTCCCGCTCGCGCGGAGCAGGTTGCACAGGACGAGGCACCAGCGGGAGCACCAGCCTTCCCCTCCGTCCGTCTGATCGCAGCACCCCGCTCCGCTGCCGTTTCTGGTTAAAATCATCCAAAATGGGACCTTTGGCAACACTCTTTGCCTGAGACGGTTCCCTCAAGAGCAGCCAGGTGAATGAATCCTGGCAGGTTCTTAATTTTTTTTTTTTTTTAATTAAAGACTTACCAGTTGGCGCAAACAGACAGTTAATCCTTTAAATTATTTTAACCTTGTTGTGATGTTTGCCAAACTTGTGAGCAGGGCCAGAGGCTGCAGCAGAGCCCTGGGGTGGGTCCTGTGCCCACTGCAACTGCTGTGCGAAGGCGGCAGAAACACTGTACGCGAGTAAACGTCCCCGTCGTCCGCTCGTGCTTCTAGACGATGTGAGAAGACAGTAACCCGGAGCCACCTGACACCTTATTTCCTGCCTTGGAGTAGCTCTGTACATACCTTTTTTTTTTGTATATTCTTGACAAATGTTTCCTGTGTGTCATCCGTCAGACAGCAAAGCGGCTGTTAGTCGCGTTTCCAATCGTGGTTGTGTGTAATGAGTTGCTGGCCCTTTCGCCGCCCGAGCTGTGTTTTTAATCTGTGCTTCTTTCACGTCTCGTTATTTGGGGGGAGCTTTCTGGGTGTTGTGGGGGGCTGGGTGGCTTGGGGGGGGGGCGGGCGCCGACGCCGCCCGTGGGGGGCAGCTGGGCCGCTGTAGCACCCTTGGGTGACACAGAAACCCCGAGTGGGGGTCAGGGTGCAAGGGGCRCTGGCACGGAGGGGGAGCCCCGTGATGGCGGCCGTGCCCCCTCCGCATCCCGCGGCTGCACCCCCCTGTGCTGGGACCCCCCCCGGGGGCCTCGCGCCGGTGCCAGGGCCCCCAGTGACGTCATTATACTTTTGGGGGGTTTCTGGTTATCTGTGACTCTCACTGCAGGGAGGGGCGGCC